AATTTTTAACCGCATATTGGTGATGCTTTAATATACGACATTTCGGCAAAAAATTTGAATTAAGTGAAAAACAAGTAATAAAAAATTTCTTTTGCGCAGCTTTATTTTAATTTTTAATAAAATAGTATTTGTTTATTCATAAGATGGCTAATTTTAAAAATTAAAGTAAAATTAATTAATTTTATCTTACTGAAATTGCGGCAAGTGATGAGATAAAGTAGAGAGATTTGGTTTGCAAGTTTTCCTAGTAATGAGCCTGAATGATTACTTGAAATGATCAGTTGCCTGCTTCGTTATGGCTTTCATAAGATAACGTTTCGATATGAGTTCTTTTGGCAATAAACAGTGCGACATCCACTCAGTTTTGGATACAAATTCTGATCATTTTGAAAATCGTCTGCAATTGTATAGTGCGCAATTTGAAATTTTCTTAATGTTTGGCCAAAATGACGCATTACTATAATAATAAATGTGGAAAATCGACTTTGGCACTATACATTACGTAACACCAATTTCCAAATCACAAGTGGGAAAAATTTCAAAGTTTTAGGTCTTAAAATTTACAAGTATTGGTATTGCTATTCAATTATTTATAGAATTATTTATCAAAGAGAAAACCAACCTGATTCGGTGTCCAGCCCTAAAGACAACGACATAAACCCAGAGATACTGGCAAGCAAGAAGACCACCAATGAACTACTGATAACTGTCCTAACTCCTAAATATATGTTCCAACCCCCCCCCCCTCCCTTGTTAAAGTCGAATTCAACAAAGGGGCCAATGATAAATATTATAAAGCCTGCCATTTGAAGTAATAGCAATAGTTATCATAGATAAAATTTAACATCTTAAATGTTCTAGAGTAAAATAGATAAATAAAAATTGAATGACAAGCCCTATTAAATTAAAAAACCACTATTTTTTAATTTACTCTGCTCTTTAAAAGAATTGGAGGAGATATCAATCCATTAAAATCATACTGACACCAAAATTAACACATCTAGGTATTTTTCATTATTTTAAAAATTTTAATATGAAAGACAAGCATTTCCATCGTGTTAAATCACAAATATAATTTAGGCCATAAACTATGGTCCAATCAAATGGCATTGGTTCATGCGAAAACCAATCAAAATGAAGCTCATTGGAAAATGATGTTTGTTATTTCTTGACGATGATATTATATTCGTGAAATACAGATTTGTTAAACCAAAGTCAATCTGACAGACAACGGTTATGTTAAAAGTCTTGTAAGTTATTTCTTTTTTTATATTTTAAAAATCTTAATGTCACGATACTATTTTAACTGAATAAGAAACTAGATGTAATGTTAATTAAAAAAGTGATGTTTATATGTTGAAATGAGATTGTCTCATTTTCTTTTAACTGATTTTATATTACTAAAAATTTACAGGTTTATTTTGAATTCAACTTAATATTAGTTTTATTGAAAATATTTATAGATTTTATTCAGAACAAAATTTTTCTCGTTTGATTAAAATTTGTACTCAAAGTGAAATATAAATAGCAAATCATATTTCCTTAAATATGAAAAACATGTAGTCAAATGCAAAATGGTTTTTCGAGAATCATAAAGATTGTATTTTTTCCAAATTCAATGCTATTGCGCAAAATAAATTCGAATTGATACTGGCGAAAATTAAGAATTTTAAATGTAGTTTTTGATTGATGTTTTACCTTTTGGGTGTTATCAACAATAACCAGCATCATTGCATTACTAATAAAATTATAAAATTATTACATTTTAAGTAAATGCATACTGCAGATGGCATTCACCTAACGGATTAGTTCATATTCGTTTGGCGACGGTTCTGTCCTATAAATCGATTTGTCTATGGATACTTTTTCATTGTTATCTGGGATATTAAAATTGAAGTTTACCTGCCCACTAAATTCACCAAAAGGTTATACTTAATGGTAAGATATTTGTGTTGGCATGGTAATTTTTCTACTGTTTTTGCCCAAAATCAAATTATTATAATAAACACTGTTTAGACAGGTTGGCATTGATCTGTGTAGCCGAATTCGATATGAAGCCCTTGTGAATAAGTTATATTCAAATATTTATTTTTATAATAATAAATAGGGTCCATAGCGATGTTTGAAAGATTTCGCCTTTTTTGGTGGAAAGGGACAAAATTTTGTTAGCAATTCAAATAGAGACTGAGTGGAGTGGACCCGAAAGAGAACGTCAACATTGTAATTTAATTTGATTTATGGAACAAGTTGGAGAGTATTCACTCGGCTGGGTTGCTAAACCGGTTTTTAATTTTTAATTCCCCCTTTGCTTTTCCACTTGTAATTGAAAATTAGAAGTCCGTCTCTCCACTGCAAATCATTTCTTCTTTCAAAGATCGAAATGCCGCCATCATCTTATTTGATCGCAGATCAAAGTTCACCCGAGATGAACTCTAGTAATTAGCTTTGAATATGCTATATACCAACCAGGATATTTATTTATTTATTTATCAAATGTATATATCACTTCGCTTTCTTCGCTTTAAGAATGTGTATACACATTATTACATAATAAAAAATTCCTCGATGGCAAAAACCACGGCTTTTATGGCAAGAATGATAAAAATTCAATTTATTTCAACTTCTAAATCTCTAAATTTAATTTATTGATGAAATATAACTACGTATATATGGGAGTAGTAAATATTGCACAAATAGAAATCAGCTAATTTTTTCCAAAAATAGTTTCTTTTAATAAATCTGTTGGATAAACGTTCTAGTAAGTTATTATCTGATTAAGGACGTAATAAGTGAATTATTTTTGTAAATAGAAATATTGAATCGATGCAATATCTCAGAATAGAAAGTAATTTTAGATCTCTATTCGAATCAAAAATCTAATTTGAATCGACCAATGTATATTGACCGTTTCAGTTCGATTGCTAGTTGAAACCCTGTTTCAATCAAAATACTAAAGTATTAAAATATTGCATACATTAAAAATAGCATTGAAATAATCAATCTTCATTATCATGTGTAACTGGCAGGAAGTTATCTTAATATATATGATAACAATAAACATAAAAAACCGGGTTGGGGGGGGGATCAGGACAGAGTGGTGTGTACTTTGTTTGGGTTTAGGATCATTTAATGATCCATAATCTCACAAATCAGCAATTGGATATTGTGGTATTGTAACGTTTGGTCTTCATTATTATTGGTTTAGGTCCATGAGCGAGTATGAGAGAGCAAGACTGTACCTACAACATTTACTTGATTGAATTATCCCCATAGTTGGTCAAGACAGCTTTTCTCCTTTCCCAGCCACGAGGAGTGGGCATGCTATTCAAAATGTGTGTCAATAGTAACACCTTAGGAGACTGGCAAAGCTCACTTCCACCAGATGTTAGCTTTATAATCTTCAAACAAAGTTGTTTCCTCCCAAACATGTTTGTTGTTTTTTTAAAGCTAACTACGCTTGCATCTGGCTATATTAGTCTAATACGATTACTTAAAATTCAGGAATCACTATTGGCTTCCCAATAAAGTTTTACAACAGGGTACGTACTTATATCTCTCCAGCTGATCAACAGTAAAATGAAATTTTATTATCTTTCTTCTAATAGTGCAGATAATTTTAGGAATTGATTTTTTTGACTTTATCACGCTTCCATTTGCTTAACTCATATGCTCAAGTGAATTAAGCGCTTTGTAAACAAGACGACAAAAGGTAATATTAATTCAACATGCTGCAGTTACTGCGCAAATAAGCTTTGACAAGACCTTGAAAATAGTCTCCCCCACCCCTCGCTCCC